CTTATTTATATCAGTTAATTATTATTTTATAGCTCTGAACTAACGTAAAAGTATTCTTTATTTTAATCATTCATTGTTATTTTTCAAGAATATGAATAGTACCCATTATTATACTCAAGAAAATTTCAAAATTAAATCGCTAACATTTTTTAAATGTTGTGTTTGTAACCAAGAGTCCATTATTTTATAGTTATTATTATTACAAAGCTCGTTTTCTTATACATTGACGGATTGGTAATAGGATTTGTCTCGAAAAAATGTACACCATCTTATGCGCTTTAGTTTTTTCATAGTAAAATTAACTCTGACGAAATCCTGCAGTTAAATTATTTAGTAGGTTGTATAAATATAATTGAAATGACCGTAAAAACTGCTAGTATTTTAGAAATCCAATCAGTTCCTATCAAGCAAAAATAAAAGTAGTTATTAGGATAGCATGAAAAAACAATTCTATAACTAAACATATTTTACAAAAATCGAATGATTTATTTATTATTGTATTTAATTTTTTTGATATATTGATGATATAATGAATAAATAGTTTGTAAACTATTTATCTATAGGCATTTTATCAAGAGAAAAATTTATAGTTTGCAAAATACCTAGAGAGGTCAGTGGCCACTTTAAATATTGGAGTGCAATGATAATAAATCTGTTTAATGTGTTGGAACGTTCGTTGGGCTTAACTAAATTGCAAATATCAATAATGAAATTTTACTTGATTAACTATTAGAAACCTTTCAGACTACTGAGTAAAAGAACAATAAATACTGTATAGTTCTCGCTATATCTTTTGATCCTGTTGGATTTTAATATTGATGTCAAAATTACTAACTGAATTCAAATTGTCATTCTATTATGTTAAAATAATATGAATCATAATGATAATTATCATTATAAGTCTAATTATAATTAGATTTTTTATCATTCGCCAAAAGCCGAACACTACAAAGTTGTCATTGCCTTCTATTCAATGTTATACGTATCTTAAGGGGCGTATTCACACAATTTCCGACCATAGGCATTTCAAAATTTGNATAATTATCATTATAAGTCTAATTATAATTAGATTTTTTATCATTCGCCAAAAGCCGAACACTACAAAGTTGTCATTGCCTTCTATTCAATGTTATACGTATCTTAAGGGGCGTATTCACACAATTTCCGACCATAGGCATTTCAAAATTTGCTGCGCTTCATTACGTTATGACGGAGGGAGCTCTTTTTTATACATTTTTGCCATAACACTACTAATTCTTCCTCAAAAAAAAAAAAAAGTATTTTATATATTTTAGTATTTTAGTAAATATTTTTCTAGTAAATCTAAATCTATATTTAGATATTATATATATCTATATAAAAAAAAAACTCTTTTTTTAAAAATATGTTGACATTCAATATTTGTCGTCCTTTACATTCACCTCACTTCGAAGGCGTCGAGGGATTTAGTTGTCTTTGTAGACTTTTTCAAATTTTCAAATAAACCGACAATTTTTTTGTTTGGTACATTGTGATGTTTAAGCGTTGTACGGATTTTTCGTACAGTCACCGTGTAATGTTCTGGTTGTAAGTTTTCATTATTGAAACATGCTGTTCATTACTGTACCATTTCATTGCCATACAACATAAACCATCACTAAGAATCACAAAACCAATTCCACCAAAAAAAAAAAAATTTTCAAATCCGCCTTTTTTTTGATACTTTCTTTATTACAAGTCTAAAAAATAATTTAACACGTTGATAGACAAAATTAAATATTACTGTTGACAGTAATATTAAAATTTGACGTCTGGGGTCTCTTTTAAATATTACTGCTATAACAGTGGTATAAAAACTATTTTAAAAATGTCATTACTGATATAGCATTAATATTTTCAATAATTTCTTATGAAGGAGGAAGTTGTTCTGACTCCATGCAATAAATAAAACCAGTGTTTATAAACTGTCCATCAACGTGTTAAAATAGAAATACCAGATAATTAATATTGTAGATACTTAGTGAGTGGGTGCAAAGAAAAAGTCTCCCTTTGGTACCTTTTTTTAGAATTTTAATTGTGTATCTCTAAAATATTCTTGCATTATACTTTGTATCAAAATAAAATGGTTTTCAATGGAATAATTGAATTTATCTCAAAATAATTTTTTTCATAACTGTACTTTAGTATAAAAATGTTATTGACTCGTTTCCAAATTCATTTTTTTTTCACAAATAGTTTTAATTGCTATTAACAACATATTGAAATAAGTAAATACTAATGTAATAAATATTTATGTACGTGTGAAAAAATAAATTCAATGATATTTGCTTAAATTAAATAGTCGAATAAACGTCCCGGTTTTAAAACCACTGGCTAAATAACTTTGCAGTATTTGTTTTTTTTTGTTTATTTACGGCAATTTGTGGTGTAAAAATTTTCTTGCTTAAAAACCATGTTTTACAATAAACACTCATCATAAATTATGATAATATACACTATTGTATACATAATTTAGGATATAATAAAATAATGACCCTAACTCAGTTATTTTTCAAGTGATCATTTATAATTATGATTTGGTACAGTTTTTAGTAATCCTTATTTTTCATATTCTCTTTAAAAAAATTATTTAATATTTTAAGTATTTAAAATTAAAACTAAGAATATATTTTAGATTTAAATTTATTTACATATACCAACATTTTGTTTTTAATATTTTTAATTAAATTTTTAACAGTGCGTACTGTAATATTTTGAAGCGCAGGAAGTATTTTCATATTTTTACTTAGTAATTCAAGTTTTAGATCTTAATATTTTATACACTGATTTTATGCATAATAGAAGAATAATTATTCATAGGGAAACTTGTCTAATCATCAAACAATTAACGATTTATTGAATTTAAAAATTATGTAACTAATTTATTATTATGAAGTAACTGATAACATTTGTATACAAATCTAATAATTTTATCTATTTTTTAATTTTAATACTCTAAGCGATATTAAATAGAATACATTTATTAAAGTGAGTTTTATTTCAAGAATCCGACAAGGTTCTGTAATTGAATGGAATTTTGATTGCTCATGGCATATTTAAATGTTAATATACATTGTAAGTTTTTTAAAATTTGTTATATAAGTCATACAAATAATAATAGGTTATTCTATTATATATAACAAAAAAATCTTATATTTAAAAAGACTGTTTCGATATCTAAATTTTGAAAATTTAATTATTTTTTATCTGATTAAAGTTAGAAATAATAAGCTAAAAAATTAATTTGTATTAAATAAATAAAACAACGCTCCGTGACTAAAAAATTCTAACATTAAATTTTGACAATTTAACTCTTAAAAGTTATTTTAAAGAGTTTTTGTATAATTAGGTTAGGAAAATTACCTTATAAGTACCTGACATAATTTCTATTGAACAATTACAATAGCCCTTATTCACAATGTATTATTTTTGCTTATATTTACCTTTAAGACTATATGATACAATGGCAGCCTTTTGTTGTTCATTGTTCGCACCATATCTATTTTATTTATCTATTGTTAATTTGATTTCGAATTCAACATCCAAAAAAATCAATAATAAAATAAAGTGAAGTTAAGAAAGAAGACGAGCTACCTTAAGATTTCATTCATATTTAATTTGGTACTTAACTATGTTCAAGTACTGTTCACTGTAATATAAGAAAAAACCTAGGCTGGTGTATTAAGATCGCTCACCTTAATTTTAATTGATCATATGATGTAAAAATCAGTGTACATTACATTATATAGCTTATGCTTGTGCATATAAATAACAGAAATAAAATATTTAAGCAATTAGGTGAGTATTTTTCATTATTCGTTTGTTTTACAATCTATATATAAACTTGTATTTTATTTAAGTCACCGTTTATAAGATTATATCATAGTCCATTTTTTGGCATATTGTATAAAATTTTATTAATTTATAATTTGATAAACGTATGATTCGATTAGATCTTTTTAAAATTTTGACTTTTTTAATTATTTAGGCTGATTATTTTATCATCAAGTAAAAATATAATCATTTCGAAAATATTTTTATTTTTCCATTAAGTAAGTGATTTATATTAAAAGAACTACCCTATATAGTAGTTATAATATTTATATTTTAATATCTCATTTGATAATAGAATAACAGATATAATTCACAAAAATATATATATCATTCTCTATGTCTATGCCTTGACTCTTAAACACAAAATTATTACATTTTTATACAAATTTTGAGAAAAGGGGTTTAATCCTTACAAATACACGTAGGTTGATTATAAAGCTAAAATTAGTTAGAAATGTCATAACTATGTTTTTAATAGTATTTAAATCAGTAGAAATTAAATACCCTTAAATGTATTATGGATTGTCTGTAAATCATATAGATTCGTATATTTTATCAACAATTATAAATTAAAGTATCAAATTGTCAATATGAATATAAATTTATGCAAAAAAAAATGTTTGCAAAGCTGTTAATATTAAATTTCACCAATTTCCTTGAATTAGCAAAATATTTACTTATTTCAGAAAAGAAATTTTTACGTTGTAAGAAAAATAAAGCGTAGTAATTTTATAAAATGTGAACAGATTTTAACAATTCTTCTATTTATAAATACTAAGCTATTCCCTCATAGTGTTAAACACAATGCATGTTTCTTATAGCCAAGAAAAAAGTATAAAATTGTAGAATTTTCTCATTAAATCCAATTTACAGGGGATGATGTAACAGTTAGGGCAAAAAAATCTTTATGATATAAATAATAATAACAACACATGTAACATAATCGTGTGACAAATATGAAGAATGTGTGTACACAGCTCACACAAGAGAACCAATGCACTAATGACATAAAAAAATAGCCAGGACGTCTGTTAAAAGACAAAAAGAACTACCGCGCTTGCAGAATGCATGTTGCTGGAGCGCTACTCTTGCCGCTAAGCGGTGGTGGTAGGAAAGAAGTTATAAAAGGAACCGGCGGCATTGATCTTGGACGCAGTGCAGTTCACCAGTCCTTGACCGATGTCAGGTCGCTCACAGGTGTAATCACTTCTACTATACTGTTATTTCTGACGTGCCACGACCCAGAGACTTTAACGCTTCCGCGTCGTGTTTGTCGACCGGTTACAGGTTCGTTCGTGTCATTCGAGTTGTTCATATTTACATTAAGTGCAAATTCCGTGCAGTAAAATCAAGTACACGTTATTTCGTGACACCAACTGAATTAGTGGCGAATTCATTTAAGAAAATTCCATTATTTTTATCGAGAAACAGCTGGGCTATTTAAGCAGCGTTGATCATACGCAGAGTAGAACCGTAAGTACATAAAATACATAAAAAACTTATTGAAATTTAATTAAGCAGACTAAATTGATTTTTTTTTACTGTTTGATCGACTTGTTTGATTAAAGTTTTAGTTGTACATTTTCCTGAAGAAACAAAAAATTTCTTAGGAATATGATTTAGTTGTTAATTTAATTATAAAATATAAACGCATGTGTCATAAATTAAAATTGATATTAATTTACTATTTGCAAATATTAACAATTTTTAGTGATGACAAATTCTGTGCTCCATAAAAAGAGTACAAGAAAAGTATTTTTTGGGGTTATTATTGTGATATTTAACAATCGACTGAAAAATATAAGCTACCATTAGTAAGCTATAAGTATTACAATATATTATATTATATATTTAAATGTAAAATTAATAGGTTTAAATTAACAACTGATTAGAATTATAAATCATTCAGATTGTTTTATTTTGTGGGGGAGTCGAGAGAGGGGAAAAAATGAAATTTTACGTTAGTTCAATGTTTGACGTTAATTTTGAAAAGTTATTAATGACTCTTTATTGGTGGCGATCTTCACACAGCTATTACATGGGAACCACTAAGCAAGTTAACGGTAAAGTTTCCAAGGATTTTGGTTACAAATTATTTATTCAAATTTTAAACGGAAATATATAATTTTATTTTTTATTTATAAATGATATGAAAATTGGCTATTAATTATTTCTCATAAATCATCCAAAATTTGTCCCATATCTTTATCAATTTGTTAAACGGCGGAAATGAAAAAAAAAATGAATACGCGGTTGACCTACACTAAATTCCGTACTTAACTTTTGATAACACACACTGTTTGTACACGCCCTCATCGTGGTCGTCACCCACATATGTCAACTAAGAGTGCAAATTAAAATTCGATTATGTCGTCGCTATCCGGAACACTTTCTATTGTCTATCCACTATCCATACTAAGTATATTGTGGTATTATTTATTAATAATATCGTAGCATATGTTAGAGTCAAATATATAATACCGTCTCCAATGATATTATCTCGTACCGAATACACCATATCGTTTATGTGATCTGCAAAACTGTATACTGTAATAGTTGACCTACTGACTACGGCGGTCAAGGAATAGAGTGAGCAAAAATGCATGTTTTAATAGGATAGTGTTATTCCATGTGTATAAATTAACATTATCAAAGCGGAGATCATTAACCTTAAGCTGCACTTGTATACCAGACTAGAAAAATATTTTTTAATAAAAAGGCTATAATTGTAAGAAATCTGAATAATTACAAGGTAAACTATTAAAAAAACATTTTCAGAAGTAGTACCTACAGTTTTTGTATTCCATACTTGTGATGATTCTCATTCGTCTCTATTGTACAGTTTGCATTTATTTACAGTTCGGAAGAGAATATTATAATTGAGAACACATACCGTTCGGTAGAAACATAATATATGAATGCATTAGCTCTTTGTACTTCAAACAATCGTTTTCGGTGTGTATACAAAGTAATGCATAATAAAAAACCACAACTGTATTTGTTCATATAGCCTAGTGGACAATTTCGTTTCCAGAGAATTAATGATTTTTTTGGGGAAAAAATGACTTTAGGCATATAATTATTGTTATTATATTTACTAACATGTTTTTTCTTACCCTCATATACCAAAGCAAACTCACAGAATGATTCATTACTTAAATATTCCGTGGTCCAAGAATTCATTTAGACATTCCCTGCGGATAATAAGACGAAGTGTTTTTTTTTAGGAGCGTAATACCGATGCCGTGTTTAAGATAAAAATATAATAACGTGTTATTGATTTTACATTTTAAAAATCTTAAAATATAAATTATTTTATTGAATATATAACCAAAGCTGACTCAAATTCATTAAAAAAAACATATATTTTTATTAATAGTTTTATACCCAATTCTAAATTTCTCTCCGATCAAAACTTCTTTTTTTCTAAATTTATTTTTATTTTTTCCAATGAAATACCATAAAATTGGGTAACTTAGTATCTTAAGTATAACATTGCACTTAAAGTTCTTAAAAAGTAGAGTAGAGATAGAAATATGCCATTGTAAACTTATTACACACAATGTCTAAATATTAAGTATTTTTATTTTGATGCAAAGCAGCCCTATTTCTCTGTAACTTATAGTTACATAATGAGTTAAAAAGTAAAAAATATAAACCAAAACACAAGCAATGAACAAACGTTGATATTACGATTAGATTTATTGAACGATCAAAATTAATATTTACCGTTTTGTGGTATCGTTCTTGTGAATGACTAAGTTTAAACAATTCGAAGTACAAGTAAAGTGTTCAATCAATAACTTTGTGGTTTGTGGTATACGTTTGTTTGCTTATAATTGAAAAAACATATTACACTTATAAATCAAATAAAAATATATTTAAATATATAAATTTGATATTGAATAAAATAAAGTTTACAATGATTATACGCTTTCGAAGTTCACAGTTTTTTTTTTACTACTTAAATAATCCGTCTTTCTGTATTTTTACAACAAATTTGCTTTAAGGGAATAGAAATGTGCATTTCTATACTCCAGTAATGAGCTAGATCATCATTAATTCATAACACATAGGTCCGTAAACAAAAAACAAACTCATGTACCTACTGACTTATTATAAGTACCATGAATTGTGGAACTATGTCGACACGTGTGTATCCAGGTGTTAAAAATGCTGGAGCAGACGAATTGTTTTTTAGAAATAAGCGATCAGTTGTGTAGTCTGTGTCCACGGCTATGAGTATTGAATGTAGATGTCGAATTAAGGAATATGACAATCAGAAAATCTTCGTGAGTGTTTAAATAATTATAAAGTATATTAGTTTAAAAATATAATTTAGGACTATTTTAAGAAAAAATTCATAGAAGCTAATATTATATTAAGTAAGACTAAAACAAAACAGTAAAAATAAACCGGTTTCCTATTTTTCAATGGGCTCCTTCACATATCATTATACGAGTAGAACTTTAAACGCATCCGTTGGGATAATTGCATGGTTCATGGCGCTCGGTGTTGTAAACCTGTTGTGATGCTATGGGTCCCGTTACGTTTAAGTCGTGTCCGTCTATTTCCGTATGTTAAAGTATCTAATATTTAAAAGGAAATAGTTTTTGCGGGAGGATCATATCCACATATGAACACTTCAAATTTGTAATATGTTTCACATTTGCCATACCTACTACAGTATTCACAAAACAATGTTTGAATTTTCTTGTCATTTTTTTTGTGATATTTTCAATGTTTCATCTTCTTTTATTATTATTTTAGCGTTCTATGTTTTTAATAGAATTATGTACCTCAAGAAGTTATTTAAAACAATAATGAAACCAGTTGTGTGTCTAGAAGTCAATTGATTTATCTGAGTAAATGTATGAGTTTGTACAAGACAAGTAACGGGATCATATATTAAGTTTAATCTATTTATGTCCAAGCCAAGTAACTTAACATCCAATACATTCACATATTTCATTAATTACATATAATGTTTTTCATTGTAATTATTACTTTGTAAAACATTAATCTTTAAAAAATGTCTCTGTATTGATGACTTTTCAAATATATTCAACAGGGGCGGCGTATAAGGAATTTTGGCAAAAAAAAAGTTATTTACAAAGTTTTATGATTAAAATAAAAAAAAATCTCATGTTGAACTAGTATTTCGTTTCATTTTTCAGACAAATAGTTTATTCGATTCTTTTTATTCTTATTATTGTAAAGATAAAATCAAGGCTAATACAATCAGTTTCGGACAAACGATTGCCCTGAATATTATTTTGGTGTAGAACTATTTTTTTTAATCTGCACTTACACGATAATCTTGATTCGGCGATTTGGTTACAAAAAATGAGTACTTTTAACAGATAACGTGCATTTTCATAACTCAATTATTGACAACAATACTTTCTTTGATTTCGAATATAGACTAGTTTAAAATTTTTCCTTTTACCAATATTTTTTTCAATCGACAATAAATATAACCGAGTTTTCTTGGCGTAGCAATTATTCATAAAATTATGAGATTTACTTAAAAATGAAACCCGGGTAAGTCACAAGTTTGTTTTTTACTTCTCACGTAAATGTAAACACTTAAGAATCTATTTTTTGTTTGGTTTAAATGTAAAAAGAATAAACTAGCTTCCTATATACATAATATAATTTAAAATTATAAATACATTTGTAATTAATATATTCGATGAATATATTACGATAAAAAAAAATATATTTTCCAAGCATAAAATATTTATTTCCATTTTTTTTATACCATTAATAGTTTTTTTTTATTAAATATACCATGCGATAAATTAATAATTATTTGGTGAATTAAATAGTTAAATTAAAATTTTTTACTGACTAATTTTTTGATATTACTCATATAATAGAGTAATTTGGTAGTAAAAAATAACTAATTTTTGACGAGAAAGTTAAATATTTATAAAACATATATAAATATATGATTACCTATAATAAGTAAATATTGTCATCAGTTATAAAATGTTGAGTTCTTGACAAGTATAAAATACCCATCAGTTAGATATGAAATATAATATTAATATTATTAATAAAAACCAGACAAGAGAGGGTGTGTCAATGACACACTGTGTCATTACGATAGAGAACATGACAAAAATCATTAGACCAGTTTAAAATTCATTTTTATTAATATTAAGTACAGTATCAAAAATATAAAATACGGAAAGGAAAAAATAACATAGTAGCATGTGGGTTAAGTAGGTTGGTTATGGTTTGTTACATTCGACATACAGAAAAACCGAATGTTTTTTAGTACAATGTGCAATTTATTTCTCACTCTACAAAACATTATCATCTATCATTCTTCGTAAAGTATTCAAAAGTAAATACTTTTGGCTTAGCTTATTCAGAGTACTTAATGATCACTACAGTAATGAAATGTATCATTAGTGTGGGCTAATGTAGAGTTCGATTAAAATGATGATATTCTTGTTCATTAT